ACAGCCTGCATCAGGGCACAACTATTACACACAGTTGCACAAACTGAGGCGACTGTGGCCGGCAGTGGGCAATTGCAGTGTTGGCCCTTGTGAAACTTAGTGAAACATTGAAAAACCTAGCATGGTACTTTGTGTCCACTTTGTACAAGATTGGCTAGTACAGACTCACGCCAGGCGAGGAACTAAGGTCCTCACCTGGGTGCCAATCGTCTACTGCTCTACCGACGCGTGCCAAACACCGGCCAGGGGCTGAGGCTCGCAACCGGGTCAGCTCACTTGCAGCGAACAAATGCGGACACTGTTGGCAGGAATTTTTGTCAGCTGCGGTTGGGCGTTATCGCTTCAATGGAGGCTGGCAACAGCCGTCGAGATAATTGCTCCTAGCTGAATTTGCTTATGTGGTATTATGTTGGGCACGAGGGTGAGCAATGAGGCCTCCCTCGAATGTGTGTCGTCCCCAAGGGCTATTCCAATTGGTCAATGGAGTTCGATTTGTATACTTGTATAAGTCACCCTGATATGTATCCAACGATCGAGTTCATCTATAATGACTTCTCAACATGGATCAGTGGTCCTAAGCCAACTCCGGCACATAGCCCAGGTCTGGAATCATGTGCAGCCACTGCGGCCACCGCATAGCTGGGCAGAGCGCGAAGGCATTTTCTTCAGCATACGTCCCCCGCCATGTGGTTCTTTGGCCTGGTAGCTTCGTGAGCCTTCCAAATACGGTGCAATCGAGGATTGCCCTGCTGGCGATATAGTGCAGTGAGGGTGGGATGGCAAGCCCTTGCAATGCCGCACAGTCCATAAAGGCCTTCACGTGGATTGTCTGTACCGTGTATGGCAGGCGTACATCTCGAAGCCTGACGCAATGCGCAAAGGTAAACTCTCAAATTTCAGCAACGCTGGTGTTCGAAATGTCTACCTGAGTGAGCAATTTACAATTGTCACAGGCATGGGCTCCTAGCTCATGGAAGTCACGAGGCAATTCGAGTTCTTTTAACCCTGTGGAGCAGAAACATCCTGTCGGTAGTTCCCTACTGCGGACAGGGAACTGGGGACAGGGGACTTGGGACAGGGAACTGGGGGCAGGGAACTGGGACAGGGAACTGGGGGCAGGGAACTGGGGGGCAGCAAACTGGGGACAGGGAACTGGAAGCAGCAACTCGAAACAGGGAACTTGGGACAGGGAACTGGGGACAGGGAACTGGGGGCAGGGAACTGGGGGCAGGAAACTGGGGACAGGGAACCTGGGGCAGGGAACTGGGGACAGGGACCCGGGGCAGGGAGCTGGGGACCTTCGCGGGGGGCTTAAGGGGGGGCTTAAGGGGGGGCTTAAGGGAGGGCTTAAGGGGGGGCGTAAGGGGGGGGCTAAGGCTCGGGAGCCTCGGGGGGGGGGGGGTGAGGGGGGGACCTTCGTAGGGGCTTAAGGGGTGGCTTCGAAGGGGGGCTTAAGCACCCCTTCGCCGAAGGTCCCGGGCCCAGCCTCCTGGCATGTGAAATTTGTCACGCAAGTCGAAGGTGTCGCATTCAGCATAGGGCCCTCTCTCCATGTGGCTCTCTCTTCCATTTTAATGAGCTGACTGAGTTGTGCGCGCTCGAAGAAGGCTCGGTGAGCAATATAGAGTAAAGCCGGTGGGGTGTGCACCTCTTGCAGCGAGGAGGGCAGCAGAAAGGCTTCTTTGCCTATGTATGCGTCTTAGCTTCCATGGGAACCATATTTGCGCCAGGTGCGCGCAGTGCGAGAAGGTAGACCCCCATATAGCAGTAATATCGGTACCAATTAAATCAACTATCCGCAGCCGCTTGCAGTTTTCACATGCAATGGGTCCTACGAAGTTGAAGTCTGCTGGCAGTCTCAATTGCTCGATTCCTAACCCACAGAAGCTCCCCTCTGGTAGATATCGCGTACATGTCGAAGCATGGGCCTCTGTCTGCTCGAAGGTGACCTGCGAAAGTGCAAGGCAACTCTCAAAAGCGTATGGAGAGATTTGGGCTTGCGGGGCCGGTAGGTTGATTGCATTATCAGTGGTTCCTATTTGGGACAAGGAGCAGCATTCTCTGCGTCCAAATCGCTTACACCCCGGGGCTAGAACCATCATGAGCGCATAGCGCCCTTGGAAGGCACCATCCTGGAGACAAACGACCGTGGAGGGCATCTTGACAATTTGCAGCTGCTGACAGCTTTGCCAGGCTGACGCCCCTATGGTCTGGATGCCTGGTTCAACCAGTACGCGTCTCAGGTCTGAGACATAAGAAAAAACATTGGGCAAAACACTGTCAGTGTCTTTTGCCGGAACGCAAGTGGCCTTGGCTCTTTGCCGCAACTGTCCCTTATGCTCTGCTGTGACGAAGCAGTGCTCATTATGAAGTCTGGATGCCCGAGATGTCTCTCTGGTGTTGTTTCCTGCTGGATGCTGGACGCCTGAAGATGTAGCATGCTCACCCAGCATGCAATGTGTCAAAAAGACATGAACAGGCGCCACTCAATGGCTTGGCCATCTGCGTGCAGCTTCAAACTCTTGTTGTAAGGAAGTCCTCAATCTCATCTTCATCCTCATCCTTCTCAAAGGTAGATGGGATGGGCTCCCCGGTCTCTGGCGTGTTCGCCTGCGTTGCGTCGCTTCGCATCACCTTGGCGCGTCCGCCACTCGCCAAGAAACATCTTCACAATCCGTATGCCCCAAAAAAAGGGGACCCGTGCCACCCGGAGCGGGCCAGCGAGCGACAAAAGGAAGCAAAAGGGGCCCAGCACCAGGGCCAAATCCAGGTACCATTGACTGTCCTGTGGCCGCGCCAGGAAAGCTCAAGCTTGGGACATGACCTCCATGGAGAGCAAACCCATTGCAGGGAGCTAAGCGTTAATCAATGCTGCGGCGAAAGTCTTCCGGTCTCGGGGCAAAAAAGGGAAGGTGCAGAGCCAAAGAATCCCCTGGGCCATCGCAACAAGGCTTTGAGTCTTGAGGCACTTTTGGGGCTTCCAATCAAGAAAGCCACCGGAACCTGACCCAGCTGATCATCGCGAAACATACCAGCTGAAGCGCGACACATCTCCCAGTGGACCAACCAAAGCTGCTGTCCGCTGCAATTCTGCCGTTGACATGTTCATACGCAGCGTCATCACAGCATCCTCAACTTCCCGCACTTTGCCACTGGTTCGGACCTCCTGCTGAATGCTCTGTCTGTCCGCTTCCACTGAGCGCCATGAATCAGTTGAGACCACAATGAGGTCATCCGCAAAATGGGCTTCAGCCGGTGGGACGGAGGATCCGTCTGCAAAAAGCGATTGGAAAGTGTATACTTGGACTTCTAAAAGACCCGTATTTCATCAGAGAATTTACACTTCAGTTGTGGCATGTTGCACACACATGTGCCGCCGAGGGGTCCTTTTCTGCCCATGGCGGTGGGGAGTTTCAGGAAGCGTAACCGTACCCTTTTGGCTCAAGGTGCTCTGGCTCAAGCTACCCAGGCAATCTTGCACTCCTTTGTGTTGCGTCGCGATGGTTAAAGGGGACTCCTCGCAAGCCAGCGCATCGGCCAGAATTTGATCGACTTTGTGAGTTTGAGAATGCTGTGCTTGAGTGCCTCCCAACAATTAGCAAGCTTAGCACTTTCGGGTGTGAGCTGGAGTTTGTCAGCCTGAGAACCCAAGCAATTCTTGACGACCCCATCTGGAGCACTCTACAAGAATGCAATCGCTTTAGTCTAGTTGTTCGACGTCACACTGCTGATGGCAGCGCTGGCCCATTTCAGCGTTTCACAGGCGTCTAAGCGATTCAACGAGCACGCCATCAAAGCAGTGCCTCAGATCTGAACCAACGACCAGTGGGAAGCTTCCAGTGTTGGACCAAACCTTCCATCGAAAATCTCCACAACTTTTTGACATCTCCACATTTCTTGGCATGAGCATGGTGAGTTTCGTTGAGATATCATAGCGTCAATTGTGCTTTCGGCTACGGCCGAAAAACCGGAAACGACGAGAAGCCACAAGAAATGTGAGCGCCAAAGGGGAAGCTGCAACGCCGGAGCAGAAGAACACACTGGACATCAATGGCGAGGCCCTTTCCCACCTTAAATTGCATTGCAGGGTTTCTCTCACCCCTAAGAATCAAAAACAAAGGCCACCAAGCCTGCAAAGTAAGGAATGCACTGGTTCCAAAGAGAATTCACAGCAAAGCAAACTCAGAAAGGAGCGCTGTGCCCCCCGCGCCCATAGCACTCAAACTTCCCTCATCAAGATGCTGCCAGGCAGGGCGCGTCCAAATGTCGTCGTCAGGGCAACACGAAGCAAGGCCATCAGCAGCGAAGCCCCGGCAGCTGCAATATACCTGAGAGGAGAGGGACTCTGTGCGCGTGACCCTGGGAAGGTCCCTTCCTTGCCGGAATAACCGCGTGTGAGTCGCCCCTTTGAAACCCAATGCCAAGCAGCTTACCAGCAAGCTCAGCGCCAACAGCACCAACCAAAATCCCTGTTTCGATTGTATTTTCTGGCGGTTTTGATGATACACTTGAGTTTCAAGGGGATGACGAACTTTCGATCCTCCCCATGACCGCGCGAGGCAAGCGCTTGCCCAGTTTTTTTTGCACGGGTGGAGACGCCATGTGTGCAGAGATTGCACAGGTCATCTTGTGCCAGCTGAGTGAGAGTTACGAGCCAGGAAGCGAAGACACCGAAGAAAACCCCAAGCAAAACCCCAAACAAAACAACAAACAACAAACCAAACACAACGCAAACAGACCACTGTGGTGGCTATTTGTGCTGGCTATTGCACATGGAGAGCAAGCCAAGCTTACGACGTTGTGCAGGCAAAAGAGGCAGGCATTATTACGGTGCCGAGTCAACCTTTTCCTCTGCAGAAGTGAACAGGCATTTGTGGAAAAGCTACTGTGAATTGTTCCCGATAACTCCAAGCCTTCGGACCACAGAATTCAGCAGCGCAGCCTGTGATTGACAGAACTCTCTTTGGGAAAGCAATTGCATTAGGCAAGCACTTGCCCAGTCACACAAAGGCACTTCGCAGTAGAAGACACCAGAGCCCCTCATGGCGCCGTTGAGCCGTTCGGATGTCTTTCTGCAATGAATTGGCCAAGAAAGCCTCGTAGACACACCAAAGCCTCGATCTGGCAGGATTGATGTTGCGTTTCTTCCATCAAAAGATGTTTTTTATAAGGCTCCCTATTGTGAAAACAGTTGGGGCTCACCAGACCGTCGTCGAACAGTCCTCATTGGCCAGCCTCGTGTAGATGCTGACCGTTTGGTTTGGAAGGACCAGCATCGTGGAAGAGGCGCTCAAGGCCTTGCAAAGGGCGACTCACTCGGCAAGGCAATCAGGTTCTGAATATCTAAACTTTGAGGATTCCTCGGCAAGGCAAAAAGATGGCTCCAAGCGTGGGGAGAACCACTCGCTCCATGTGCCCTGGCCCCAACGCACCCCCCACGAGGAAAAAGGGTGTACCTACGACCTGCGACTTCCCCGAGCCCTAAGGAAACCACGGCAAAAAGAAAACAGAAGGAAGTCTAGATTAATGCAGCAGCATCTCAACTCTCCTACAGCTCAGGACTAACTGTCACCTGTTGTTGCAGGTCAAAACGGTTCATGTGCTCGAAGTTCCAAGTGTCTTTAAGTCTTTCGTGTCCAAGAAGAAAGTTTCAAAACCCATAGACTCCTTGAAATAATCCGGCCCCTTAAATGACAACTCTTGCTCTAAACTAGATGGTTTTCCACTTCCAAGGGCGTATTTCAGGAGTATACAGTATACGGTCTCAACCAGTTCCAATGGGCAAATCCGCCGAACAAACATGGGGGCTGCAAAGGACCAACCTCCGGAGACACTTCCTGGAGAGTGGAGCACTTACTCCCTCCCTCGGAGGGGGACTGCAAAGCATGCACATGATTGTGCAGTCTCTGGTGGTTCTCTGCCGACAACCAACTGTGAATCTTTGACAGCGCAAGACACCATTCGTGAAAGGTCACACTGCTGGCAATGATTGCCCTTTCGTTGGTATGCCGCCACCTCTCAAGCCTTTGGCTGCGTAAAACACAATGCATGGCCTGAGCATACAGGCACCTTGCCCAGTCCGCAAGTTTGCAAGTGCACAGTGCACAAGTGCACCCACCTGCACGCGGCAGATTTGCCGATTAGCGCTTCTAAACTTTCGCAACGAGTACTGAGAGGCTTTTTCGCAACAATTCAGTGCCCCAAGTGGTTTTCACCTAACTTTCATTTCATCTCACTTCTGCATGACCCACCTGAGTCTCCGTTGCCGGCCTTGCTGTTTGTTTTTTGGTGTTTGTTGGTTTTGGTTTTGGTGTTTTTTGTTCTGTCGATGCCTCAGCCGGAGACTCATTCACAAGTACAGTGGCGCAAGCTGACCTGTGCATTCTCTGCGCACATGGCTCCACTCGTGCAAAAAGAAACAAACCAAACCCCAACAACAACAACCAAAAACCCGCAACAAAACAACGAAAGAGAAAGAGAGGAGATTTAACTTTGTACATGCAAGAGACCAAAGGTGAAACGGTCTAATGCGGAGGTGTGTTGATGCTCTTGGAAAGGGTGGATTAAGTGTACAAAGTGCGGCAAGAAGCATGAAACAAACAGTGCAAAACGGACATGACGACCATCACGTGTTTCAAGTGTGGAAAGGTTGGTCACAGAGGTGGTGCAAAGGGCGTGTTGCGGGTTTTTTGGTCGTTGTTGGGGTTTGGTTTGTTTCGTGTTGCTTGTTGCTTTCAACTTCACATGAGCAGCCCTCTCTACTTGCCCGTTTGAGGCATGTTGACCAGCTCCAGTGAGTCGGATCTGGAGATTCACCCAAAAACAGGACCTGTGCATTTCCTGCAACGTACGGCGGCTCCACTCGTGCAAAAAAAGGTGCAAAGGGAAGCTCAAGTTCCTCTGGGAAGTCATGGCTCTTGGACAACTTAATTTTAAATAAGAATTACTTCCTTACTCGGAGCTGCTTCACAATCACCTGTCTCGCTCTCGGGCCAACCGTCGTCTAGTTCGAGTTTAGAAGTTAACAATGATGTAACTACTTTTGTGGTAAACACGCATGGTGAGAAGTATTAGGGGTCCGCAGTGGATGAACTCCTCATTTTGGCTTCGTGGCAAGAGATGTGTTGATCAATTTCGGATTTTCAGATGCGGCGCTAGTTGCCAAATGTGATGCAGCAGTCGAAGCACTTTGATTTTGTTGGGTGTTGTTTCCTAAAGATTTCAAGTCAGGTCCACGCAAGGCAGTCTAGAGCAAAACACAACTGAGTTGGTCCGCACCAACGTCAACTTGGGTTGCGCCAACCACGTTGTGACTATATAGTTCAATCGGTCCGTCGCCATGCCATGTCATGGCCAGGGCCCTGTGTCCAGCATGTGCATTTTGGGGTTTCATTGGCGGTTTTTTCCCAGCCGGGGCCGTTTGACCTGGCCGCTCGGATTTTCAGAGGGGTTGCATCAGGCACATGGCCGAACATGGTTTGTCTAGAAGTTGCACAGTTGCGGATTTGCCTTGTACATATTTTGAATTTGACCCAGAATTTGTTTCCACAAGTATCAAGTTCCAATTTGTGGATGAGTTTACTAGTTTACCGTTCACCATAATAATTTTTGAATCAGCCCATAGTGAGACCGTGGGTCCGTGGGGTTATAATCCTCCTTCAAGGTGTTTCCTTTCTTTGGTTGCAACTTTAGTCGCTGCGGCTGCATGCGCTAGCTTGCAAGAGGAATCGGCTCCCTGCTTCGAGGTTGCTGGAGGCGGCCGTGGAATGATTGGATGGAGCCGGAGAGATGGCTGTGGGTCAAAACCCAAAGCATCCTGGTTGACAGCATCGGATGTCAACCCCCCCATGGTTTGGTGAGGTTGAGTTCCTCACAGCCAAACGGTGCTCAAACGAGTGGACAAGTTGACCATTGGATTAGTGCTGTTCCCTCCAATCGTTTCAGTGTGGAAACAGGGGTAGAAACCCGGGGATCAAGTTTGTGCAGCCATATCAGGATAGGCATTGAAGGCGTCGCAGCTTCTTGGGACACGCGTTTGACACTTGGGTGAGGCTCCCGGTTGCCGGCGGCTTTGGATTTTGTTGGATTCTTTCATTTGGCCTCATATGTTAAACTTAACCAAACTGTCACACACGGTTTGCCGCAGTGACTTGTCTCAGCCTTCCGTGCGGCCAAATCGGGGGGAAGACTGAGCCCATGGTGATTGGGGTCCAAGAGGTGGCGGAAGAAATCCATCATTTCTTCGAGAGCATGATGAATGTTTTGGAACCCCACCTAGCTCCACCCCTAGGAGAATGTTTCAAGGCCTTTTCATGTGAAAGACGTACCTTCCAAGCACATTCCACAGGTTTTCTGTTTTTTTTCACATTCCAAGAGCCAGCGCTTTCCAGGCCTTGTTCCAGGCCTTATGGAGGTGCTGCTGGGCAGCGGCTTGAGCCATGGCGCGGCCTTCGCGCTGGTGCTGGTGACCTCGCTCTATGCCTGGCAGCTCTGCTTGATGATCTTGTTGGCCTGGTTGGTGGTGACTATGGGCATTGCAGCGAATCTGGAGAGGTCCAAACTCCGACAGGTCGGCGTTTAGAAGATGGGAAGATTAGAGAAGATGGGAAGATGGGAGGAGCAGGGAAGGGAAGAGATTTCAAAAGTTCTGGAGATTGGAAGGGGTGGGTCTGAGCCTTGGCCTCAATTTGGTGAATCCTGTCCGAATATTTGGTGAACAGATCACCGCGAACTTGGCCAAGGTCTTTGAATTGCACGATATGTTCCCTCCAAACGGGTGAATTCAGACATGTACAAATCCCTGGCCAACAGCTCAAGTCGGTTGGACTTCGAAGAGATCGTTTTCACGACCCGGATTGGCGAGAAGCTGACTTGCAGACTTTTATAGTTGTACTATTGTTTTAATTAACGAAACCGCTACTTGAATACTGTAGGCGAATAGTAAACATCTACTGATTTTCGACCATAGCCATCAAATGTGTTCTTGAGTCTAGTTAGCACAACTCCCATGCCAGCTTTGCTTTGCTCTAAGTATGGGGAGCATACCAGGTCCCCAAATGTAGATGAGAGGAAAGGACATATGGGGAACAGATGAAGATGACGCCTAGGTTGAAAAAGAAACCAGCAGCATCTGTCGCAGGGAGGCTTTTTGGTGCATGAAGATCGGTGAAGGATCTTTTCGAATTCCACCTGGGGAGGTTCACTGAGATATTTCACGTGGCGCCAAAGGAGCTCCTAGTGGACCCGCAGGGAATGACGGTGGCCGAACCTCCAAGATTCCAGGATCCTGCCACCCTCATTCCTTACAGGTCACACCAATCAGTCATTTTGGGGTGTAAAGCCCACGGAGCCGACAGGTGCACTGGCTCCTGGCTGCGCTGGAGATCTTTGCTGCGGGTACTCTGCTGAGCGTGAATGCCTTTGGATCAGCGGCCCCTTCGCAGCTGGTGCTCAGCAATGCTGAGCTGGGATTGGATAGCTTTCGATTGGAGGACGGGGCAACAGGGAGGAGAAGCTCACACCATTTCAGGCGGCTGCTGCTGCTCTGTTGCTGTTGCTGTTGTTGGTGGTGTCGTTGTTGTGGTTGTTGCATTTGTACAATTGGCAGAATTCGTAGTTCCTGCTTCGTGGAGTCTTTCGTCATTGGTACACCGTCCTGGTCCTGGGTGGTGAATCAAGCTCCTTTGCCTACGATAAGAACCGTGCCGCTGGAATCAGCAGAAGCGGGAACTGCCAAGGGTCAAAGGTGACTTTCTGGTGCTTTCTCCCTTCAAAAACCCGACCTTATCAAGTTTAGAGACCACATGATCAGATTATTTCCAATCAAAACAAGGATTGAATCTGATTGGCTTGTTGTGATCGAAGTTCTTTTGAAAGATTGCGCCCAAAATCACACGCTGCTGGAGGATGCAGTGCTTTTCAGGTCCGGCGACGAGGTGGGACTTTCCAGGGGAAAACAGGGGGACAGCGGACATTGGGCTGCGAAGCAGGCAACTGCTACATCAAGCAGTTTGAACATGCGGCCAAATTCGGAGTTTGAAGATGTGTTTTTGTTGCCCAGGTGAAGATCGCCTTTTTCTCTGCCTCAGAGGTCTCAGTCTCTGAGCTCTCCTTGGTGGAGGGTCGCTCCTTCACAAGCTTCAGGCAGCAGGTGGTCTTTGTGGCCAAGGACGCCTGCGGCCAGGAACAGCTGTGGTCCGTGTCCAACGTGTCCAACGTGTCCAGCACTGCTGTTCTGCATCAGACCTTGGATCCGCGGCTGAGGCTGGAAGCTCTGGCCGTGGAGAATGACACCCTCTACCTGAAAGCGTCTATGCCCTGCCAAGTGGGGGAACCCACGTGGCAAAGTGCCAGTGATCTCGACCTCTCTGGCCAATGTCTAGTGTCCAGAGGGACCTTAGTCGCTGAGCTATTTCTGGCAGTGCTCCCAACCGTGCTTCTATCCGCTGGCTTGTGTTGTCGAAGCCCGAGCCTTTTTACAACACTATTTCTAGGGATCTACAGCATGGTGGTGGTCATCCGGCTGCTGATTGATGCTAATTCATCTGCCTTGCATGAATTCATCTTCACTTCTCTACTGATCTATAGCACTTTAGCTTATGGCCTGTTGATCACCTGGCACTTGCTCCAGCCACGAAGTTGCGAAGATTGGGAGGACCTAAAGACTTGGGCCTTCGCAGTGGTCCCTTTGAGCTTCTCCTTTTCCCTTCAGCTGCGGCTGGGGCTTCCAGAAGATCTCCACCTTTGGCGTTGGATCGTCTTCGCTTCCCTGGGCTTCCTCCAACTCCTGCTGGCGCAGCTCACTGGCCGACGTTGGCCACGGCTCCTCGGCCTGATCCAGCTGCTCCTGTCCCTGCACCAACTCCTGGGCGCCACGGTGCGACCGCACCTGGGCGAGGGAGTGCTGCGAGCGCTACAGTGGGCGTTGCTGGGCCTCTTCGGTGGCTTTCTGGTGGTGCTCGGGGAGGCGGACCCACCCGGCCACGCCCCGGTGGCCGCGCGGAGCGCGCGGAGCGCCACGCCGGAGGAGGAAAGTAAAGTGCATCCGGAGATCGTGAAGACCAAGGAGGTGGATCCACCGGAGGCGGGGTGTTGAAGCTGACGTTGACTGAAGACATATGAACCAGACAGGTAGTAGGTAGGTTGCGAGGAATTTGGGGCTTGTATGTTTATGTGTTTTGGTTTGGCAAGAATGGAGCTTGCGAGTGCAGACCCACCCCAAGCACAAAGGAAAAGCTTTGGCCTACGGGGAAGTCTCGAACATCGAACATGGATGCTTGTTCCTAGTAGCGATGCCAGGAGCCCCGTTCGTAGCGTCCTTGATACATGCATTTTCGAGTTTACAAGAGCTGGAGTACTCTGAGTGTCCAGCAACGAATCATCGAAGCCTGGCAGGATGAAACTACTCCAGGAAACCGAAGAAGCCCTACAAGTGGGATCCAACCCACAACGTTTTGCTCTCGTCCCCGCTGCAGACTGACCCTGCAGGTGGAGGACCCCCCTCCAGGGGCTCCGGAGGCGGCCATGGAGGCCTTTGCACAGCTGGCGGCTCAAGCCTTGGGGCAGCATGCTGGTCTGCCAGAGCATCAGAGGCAAGCGTACGCCACTTGGCCGAAATCCCGAGCCTGAAAAAACACGAGTTTGACCGAGTGTTTGCCGTGAGAACACCCGTTTTAGACCTCTTGGGTGATGAGTACTTCAAGATGGTTCACCTAATTGCTTGGAGCGAAGCTGTTGAGGCCGCTTCTTTTCATGAAACAACGCAGTTGTGTAAGAAAGAAAGAGAGAGGGAACTTGGGTGGATGTCAGGTCTCATTCTAACTTGGCCAACCGGCCATTTTGGCTCAAGTGTCTGCTTCACCATGCTCGAGGAGTTCGAGACCTGGCTGGTGCTTTGCTACGTGGCTGGCATTGCAACTGGCTGGGTGCTGAGTCGGTGGATTCCGGCTCGAGGTGCTGTGGTGGAGTTTCAATCTTCACCGGTCGAACTCTCTGCTGTGTGCCGGTGGAAGCAGCAACGCTATGGCGGCCAACGTGCTGCCTAATGCCATAGAGCTGGCCTTGTTGACCGACCTTGCTTCCGTGGTGGCCTTCAGTGGCCTTCCCAATGGTGTGTGGCGCCAAGTGAATGCGGCCCTTGGTGGATTCCCCAACCTTCGTCTTTTGAGTCAGGCCCCTGATGGCATTGCGGAGGCCATTGCAACCATGCAAGTCCCCAGGCTGGATGCTGATGGCAATGCCCTTGATCCTCCTGAGACTCGTGACCTGTCGATGGTTGAATCAGTACAAGTTGCACTCATTTGGAGGGTTGCAAGGCAATCCTTTGGACTTGAGGACATTGACATCCTTGCTCCTGGTGCGATTGGTTCGTTAGGAATGAGTGCTGGATTACCTGCTACTGGACCCAATACCATTCCTGTACCTGCTGCTCTTGGAGGAAGTAGCAAGGCCCTTGGCATTCAAAAGGTGAAGGTGTCCCAGATTGCTGACCAGCTTGAGCACGAAGTCACAAGTAGATGAAGCATACAAGACATATTGAGACATCATGGGTGCAGACCCCCCAAAGGAAACAAGGTGGTCACCAGGGGTTCTGCACCATATGCAGACTTCAGTGTACTAACACCCTATGCCAGAAGGACACAGAAGCACATGAAGGCCAAAGGATTCCTCCTACAAGAGGATGGAACCTGGAAACAGAGCGAAGTGCAAGGACCACCGAGCTTCGAGGCATGGGCTTCGTGTTGGGATGTCTACAGGACCATCTTGTTGATGCTTCGTCATGAGCCACTCGTGCCTGGAGGACCCAGAAAGGCGGTGATCACTTGGGCTGCAATGGACGAGTACCTTCGAAACACTGCCAACCTGAATCGACAGTATCCTGAGTGTTGGCACTTGATCATGCAGGCAGAAAACCGCTGCAAGCGACCATCTATAGAGAGGACAAGACGAAACCTCACTCGTGCGGCTGCAGAAGGACGTCTGCCGATGAGCATCTCATTCGCAGTTGAGCAGCCGTGGATTGGTGTCTTCGCCTATGTGGCAAGAGATCAAACATACTGGAGCCGTGGTAGTAGGATATCGCCCAAATCGGGCATTCCTTCGAACACTCCTGCAATACAAAGAACAAATGAATAACCCATCCTAGTGAAACACAAAAGTACGTAGGCGCGTAAACGTGCCTAAACTTCAGTGGACCGAGTAAACGGTCAGAGCAAACAGCGAAACAGATCAAGCGAACCGCAAGAAGCAACCCAGATAAACAACAAAGTGGGGAGGAGAGGGTAACAAGGGGGCCCGCAGCCAACGGCGCCCCAGCGCCCACAGCTCAGCCCCCCCAAAACTGTCAGCAAAGCTGGAAGAGGGGGGGAGAGGAGGGAAACAAACAAACAGCAAAAACAGAGGGAACCCAACACAAACAACCCAAAAGCAGCAACCCGAAACCCGAGAGGAGCAACAACTGGGACGGTCGGCGAGGAAAGCGAGAAACCACCATGGTAAAGGGCAGCAGGCAGAGGCTTGAGGGATGGCCCCCCCCAGCCAAACCAAGGCGCCCTCTGGAAACAAGTCAGAGAGGGCAGCGCCTCTCGACGCCAAACAACTGCAAGAGGCAGCAAGCGATCGACGCAACACAGCGGCAAAAAATGTCCTTCAGGTGCGCTGACGGCGAGCTGGCGCCGATGGCGCGGAATCGGACCCTTCCCGCTTAGGGCTGCGACCAGGAACCGACCAGGCGAACGGGCCCCGTGTCCTAGCGTGGGTCCTTCGAGGAGGTGGAAGTGCGTCTTTGGCCAGGCATACTGGAGCCAAGAAGTGCAGATCCCTGCCCATAACTTCATCGCCCATGGAGGTGGTGGAAAGAAGATGAACAAGTTGGACGCTGAGGGCATGGACATGTCAGAAGCTGCAAATGGATGCTACAGGGAATAAGCTCAAGGGTTCTGATGGACAGTTCTTTGTGACAGATCGTGATGGCAACCAGATTTGCTACAAGTTCGCTAAAGGGCAACCTGGTGCATGCAGCGAGCCATGTGCAGATCAGAGGGCACATGCATGTCAGATCTGCTTGGGCCAGCGTCCCAACGTCCAATGCCAGAAGAAGGGCAAGAAGGGCGATGGAAAAGGAAAATGCCCTGCTGAAGAGACCATGCGCGTGCGTGAAGAGCACACCAACGCCTTGGGTGACCCTTTGATGTTGCCCCCCAAGAATGCCGTGTGCCCGATTGAATTCCAAAAAAAATGTGAAGAATTTGGTTGATGATGGACTGAGACGCAACTATGTCTCTGCGGAGTTCTTCGCGGGAATGGGTGGTTTCTCGGAAGCGATGAAACTGGTGGGAGCGGGCTTAGTAGAAGTTCGCGCCACCTTCGGGGAATGGAATATTCTCGTGGAGGAGGACTTTTCAATGGCCAAGCATCTTTGTGATGAGCTGGATCACGCACACTTCGCACCTGCATGTCGCGCAATGACAATGGCACGCAGGAGTGACAGATACGGAGAAGTCAAAGTGCTTCGAGATGAAGCCAGGCCCGAAGGATATGGACACAAGGACGCAGAGGAAGCAAATGAGATGGTGAGCAGAATGGTAGTCTAGCGCTTGGCATTGGGCAGGCGCGGTTCCACCTTTGCCATCAAGAACCCTTGGATGTCGTTTCTGTGGCGAAACTAGTACGAAGACTTTGCCATGAAGTCAGAGATCACCTACGTGCAACCACACTATGTGGGAAAGCTTGGGACTATGTCACTGAACGCTGGATCTGGAGAACAAGTCTTGCTGCTGAATATCCTTGCGGCCTCTGTCTAGCGTGGAGCAACGCCTTCAGATGCTGGTTTCAATCGAAGTTGGGGCAACGCTGGATGGAGGAGGGGAGCAGACTAGTGGGCAAATGGCAAAACGTTTTGGTGAGGGGAGGACACGAAGATGACCTTGAGAGAAAGGAGAGAAGAAGAAAACAAGAGAGCCATTGGTGGCTTGAGAAACCCACAAGCTGCAGTGGCAAGCAACCACAGGCTACGGCTAGTGGGTCAGAGAATCCGGAAGGTGATAGAAGATCACACGCGTGAAGAAGAAGTTGACAACATGATGGAAGACATCAAGAATGGCGCGAGCAATGAATGGGTAGCAGAGATTCGTTCAGGGCTCTGCAAGGAGTTTGAAGCTGTGCCTGTGAAGAAGGGCTTTCGAGTCAACCTATGGGAGAAGATACTTCGTGAGGCAGGTGGCGCAGACAGTGTATGTTGGTGGAATGTGGCATGAAGACTCTGACCTCAAGAGCAGAAGGTCTACTGAAAGGTGACCATGATGGCTCCCTGAAGAACTATGTGAGTTTTGACGAAGCTGGCGAACCTGCTGAAGAGCTACTCGAAGAGATGCATAGTGCAGAACGCACTGAAGTGGTGACATCGTGGGCGGAGGTCGTGCAGAAAGTAGGACCTGAAGCCGTGCTCACGAAGTTGGCCTGCGTCACGAAGCTCAGGGCCTTCGTGATCTTCAAAGGGGGCCATAGCGGCGAAGGGGAGAAGTACCGCATCAGCAAGTGTGTGGTGTTTCGGCTGGCGGCTGGACCTTTGCTGTGGGCGCGTATAGCATCCGCTGCAATGCGGGTCGTGCAAGCTGTCATGACTGAAAGGGAAGCCGCAATTGCATGCTACGTGGCTGATCGCCATCTTAGGTAGAACACCTAGATCAAGGATGAGGTCGTTTTGTATCTGCACATTGGTTTGGCAAGCGATTGGGCTTGACGTGGCGTAGCACAAAGGGCGTCACGGAGTGATGGTTCCATGCATTGGATATGAAGTCAGCCTATCGGGCTGGGCGCATGGCCACATCACAGTCCGCTTGGCCGAGAACAAACGACAAAAACTGCGAGAACCCTTTGAGCAGTTGTTGAGTTATCAAGGGATGCTGCCCCGTCGTCTTCTGTGTGTTGGGATGGGCTTCAAACATCCTTCAGGCTGCAAGACCATGGTTGTCAATGCTCTATGCTGCTGCCTCACAGCATCAACGCAGTGAACCCATCAAGGTGAGGGCTCGCGAAAGAAAGGGGCTAGTGTTTGTGAAGCGTACAGGAGATCGATTCTGCGAGGCCTGGTCTACGCCACACCTTCAAATGGAGGCCTGGTGCACCCACTGTTCTCATCCAGACAGGTGCATGTCCGGCAGGAATGGGGGGTTTCCTTATGGTGGGAAACCGCTTGGCACGCTGGCGCTCGCCTGTCACTAAAGATGACAGGAAACTTATGCAGTCTGATGCTGGCGACCCTTCTTACCAAAATGAATGGGAGCTTCTCACCATATGGATGTCCTTGGAGGCCTTCAAGCCATGGTTGATCGAAAACGACCAGTCGCCGCAAGTGCTCGCGCGGACCGACAACATGGCCGCACTACGAGCTTCGTCAGAGTACCGTGCCAAGTCGCCAATTCTAGTACAGCTCACGGCAGAACTTGCCATCCTTGTTGAAATCTTGCAATTGTTGCCTTTGAAAGCGCAGCATGTTCCTGGAATAGAGAACGATGTTGCCGATCGACTAAGTCGGATTGGCGACAACAGCTTGGCAACAATTCCCACACGGTTGCCGAATGCTGTGTGGGTGCGAGCTCCAGCTCGTGACAAAACGTGTTTCAGAGCCTGGCCTTGAGTCCAAAAGCGCTGAACGTTGCTGCTGTCTCACGCTTTGTCATTGCATACTTGGTACAGCTTGTTTGCACTTGTTTGAAAGTGCTTTAGACCTCGAATCGTCACTGTGCATGTGTTTCGCGTGAGGCGACGCCAAACTTCAGAAGTGCCGGGTTTCTCAGCCGCTCACTGCAACGCTGTTAGGTTGGACTAGTGGTGGGCAGTGTGCTGTGCTGATAGAAGATTGGCGTGGCACTTTGTTCACGTCCTCCCTTCGGTGTTGTTAGCGCTGTGAAATCCGTTGTGGATAGAATATTCACAGGACCCATTCAAAGGTAGAATTGACAAGGTTGAAAGGTCAAGGTGAACCCTCCTAAGCCTCCTTGTGCTGACCACTTAAATAACCCGCCTCCACGTATAGGTCGATCATAGACAAAGGTCAAAGAAGGGAGATGAAAGAGAGTGAAGGGTTCCTTGTTGATGAAATCCCTCCTGCGGTATTGGCTGCAAGAAGGAAACTACGGTGGGACGAAAAGGATGTCCTGAAGGCAAAAAACCCAATGATGTCAAAGTGTTGGCAGATAGAACCAACACCTGCCTGATGCCTGCTGCTAGAACACCATGTTCCGCACCTGGCACTCCTAGTCCTTGCCTAAAGGAAGACACGCTGGTCACAATGGCTGGAGAAGTTCTGAAGCGTCGCAGGCAAAATGGACCTTGGCAACCAGACAGTGCTACGAAGAGGCCGAAGGTTGAAACTGACACGTCAAGAGGAGACTAAGAACAAAGGATTCCCTTTGATTGGGCAGTTGGCAAACGCCAGAACGGTGGTCAGCAAGGAGAAGATGATCTCACACGCCAAGAAGTTTGCCATGCTCATTCGGAAAGTCACACCGGAAGCCGGCGACTTAGACATCAACCGGGTGTGGGCACTTTGCGCGAAGGTCAGGGGCCAAAGACTTGGCAAGACAAGGCATACCTCTGACTGCGATTCAATGGATGGCAAGGCATTCGTCGAGTGTCACCACCCAATACGTGGAAGATGCATGGGCTGAGCCGCCTAGATCGGATTTGCAGCTGCAGGATGTATCCACCCTCTGCGAAGTGGCAAGCTCCACGCTCGCTCGTGTTGAACAGGTCGAACAGGCTGTCAAAGACACGGAGGAGTGGTTCAACGTTGTCAACGAGCAGTTGGAGAAAGTCTGTCCATCAGACTGGGTGGTGCAAAACAAGGCAGAGTTGAGACGAGAAGGCACTGATCCGGGTGGCAGTAAACTCATAGTGTATCTAAGGCCTGCTGTGTTGGAAGCAACGCACGCCTGTGGACCACGAATTGTGGATGGCCTGGGTAGAATCTAATTTGCAATGCGCGCAAGTATGTGAAGAAGATTAAGAGAATGAGACCTATAAGAAATGTAAGAGGTGCTATACGGACATGGCGATGTAGGCTGGATGTGGACGTGCTTAGAACAAGCATGATTCATGTCCAAGATTGGGGGTCAGAAGAAATTTGACCTCTGACCAGGGCCTTTGATGCACGTCATTAGGCCTACAACAGGCACATCGCCCATCTTTTGTGTGAATAAAAGATCTGCACTTCTTGTTGCTTCTTGTTTAGGGTGGTGGTTGGGGAATGTGTACGA